AAGTAAGATTCTTTCTGGCAGCCTATAAGAGCCCTGGATTCCACCTTGGCTTAACAAAACTGTTGTCATAGTTGCTGTGGGGAAAACAGAAGTTTCTACGGCCAGGATCCTCACCTGACCCTAAACTACTTAATGATGTAACTGGCCTGCTGCTAGGCTACTGCTTCCACACCCATAGGCAATAAGCTGTTAAGGCTGAGTCACTATATAAAGAGCTCTTCCCAGGGCTCTGGGTGGAGGCAAAGATGAAGGAGGATTATGGACCCACAGACTGCTGGATGCAGACATAATTCTAGTGCTTGACCTATAGCTGGGAGAGCAAAGCTGGGTAATAAACTCTTTTACCCCAAGAGCGTTCCATTGTCATTTCTCCATCTCACTGAATCCATAATGAACTTGCCTGGGGCTGAAACCCTCAGGCAAGACAGTTGCCTTCCAAATCCTATCTTGGGTTGGTCTTATCAGTGAAAAAAATGTCATGGTAAAACACTAGAATTCTTCAGACACCATACTAGGATGATGATTTAACTCTGTTCTCACTTCCTTTATTCTTTTCTAAGACCCAATTTAGACCTATACAATTACTGCTCTGTGGCTTTTAGTCATTTTCAATTTCTATGAGAAGAAAAAGAAAAGTCATATTAGTCCCACTCTTGTGCAAAAGCTCATATAGTTCAGGAAAATGTCTGCTGAAGAAATATGTTTCTTCCTATGGATAAAACAAGAAATGATTTTAGTTCCTGTCAAAATGAATGGGGTGAGCTTGAGGCACTGGGATTCAGAGAATTATTTTTATTTGTTTTTGAATCCATTTTTGGGTATACAGTTATCCAAAATATGTCCTTTAAAAAAAAATTAGTACAGTGCTGCTCTGGTCTGGAGTTTTCTTCATTGCAGGATGAGTGTGAGCTTTGTTTCTCAGCAAAGATAATTTGTCAATCTGACTAAAGTCAGAGCTTTAATATTACACACTTAAGTCTTCATTTAGGCATGTATACATATATGTGTATATAGGCACAAGTAATTCATCACAAAAATCTTCAGTCTTCATTTATGTACTAACCAAGATTGTATTTGGTATATGCAAAGTTTAATCTGAAAGAAATCTTTCTTTTTTTTAATAAAATGAAGGCTTCAGTGAATAACCAAGGTGATTTACTTCTATTTATTGAGGGCACACTTTCTCAGGAGACAAACACATTCTTTTTTTTTCAAAAAAAGAAAAAATCCCAGCCCCCAAATACAGAATTTAGTAAAAGACTGAGAAAGTTTGAAGAAAACGACTGAATCTCCCATCCCCCAGTCCTCTCCTTACTACCTTCCTGTTGAGGTGAAAGGTTCTATCTGACACTCACCTAGTGGAGGTTCTATTCTTTACCTTCTCATGGTTTCAGTTTTACATATTGATGACTCCCACATTTACATCTCATTCCCAGACCCCTCTGCTGAGCTCCAGTCCCACAGACGGCCTCCTTAGTATCTCCAACTGGATATGTCAAAGACCATTCGGCATTAATATCTCAGGTTGAATTCCTGAGCTACCCCAAGTGTCCTCCTTTTCCTACATCCCCCATTTCAGTAAATGCTGTCTCTATCTGCCCTATTTGTTATGCCAGAAGCCTGGGAAAAATCCTTATCTTCCTTCACCTCTTTCTTAACACACAATCCATCACCATCTCTGGTCAGTTAAACATTCAAAGTCAACATCTCAGTGCCCCACCCTCCTCCTACTTTCCCCTGGCTGATGTTTACTCAGCTTCCTGTTTCTGCTCCAAAGTCATCTTCCTCAGGAATCCCTCCTTGCCCCTGGGATGAATTCTGCCTTTGATTATCATCCCATAGTATGCTTTTGCTTTTCACAAATATAATGGATTATTTATTTAATTATTTAATGTCTACCCATCTCTTGTAGTTTGATAAGCAAAGGAAATAGGGCTGTTTGATTGTTCCCTAAATCTGTTATGTATAGCACAGTGCTGGGCACTCAACTATCCCTCAGTATTACCAGATTTTTGGAACACACATTTGTGAGCTTTATGAACTCTTTTTCCTCTTCTCTGTGATTGTGGATGTCCTTTCTAATTCAAAAGAACAGAATTGTGGAGGTTCTATTCTTTACCCTCTCATGGTTTCAATTTCACCACTCTAAGGAGGACTCCCAGTCAACATCACAAGCCCTAACTCTTCTGAGAAATGTGATCCCTTAAAATTAGCCCTTCCTTGCTGCCTCCCTAGTTTTCTGGGAATACTCTCAAAATTCCAACTCACGTTAACTCCTTCCTCCAGGACGACCCCCAAGCCTGCACTGCCCTCCCCATCCAGTGAATATGACCTTGAATCTTCTTGCTAATCCTTTTAGCAGTCCAATTTCCTGTGAATAGCACCTCAGAGATTCACAATGATAACCTACACCCCTTCCTGTCTCTCCACCCCTAAGACTTTGAGGAGTTTCGTAATTCATATCCCCACCCCCATCTTCCATGCAGATGGCCATTTTCCAGAATGCAGAACTGCAGACTGTGTCTGTTAGAAAGGACCTACAGAACATCTTACCTTATTTTGTAAATGAGGAAACATAGGTTCGGAAAGTGACAGACCTGTCCTATACCTAAGGCCTTAACCTCCTCAGATGCCTTATGGCATTTGCAGCCTCCACTATGCTCAGAAGCTCCAGTTCCTCTCCTGCATATGAGAGACAAAACCCTTTGCTAGTCATCCTCATGATTTGTGTAATCAGGTGCTTACTTACTTTCTTAGACATACCAGTAATTGCTTCTCTATACATTCCTTTTCTTCCTCTTACTTTACAGTCAATTCCTTGAACTGTCCACATTCACCTAGCACATTTTTTTCTGGGCAATATTTGTTCCTTTTGTTTAGCCCACCTAGGACATCTTCTAGTTTTATCCTCTGCAGTGGACGTTGTGTTTTGAACCCCAAAGCATGCCTGATATATAGTGTCTTTTAACACATTTTGTTGTTGAATGAATGCATAGAACATTTTATTTAGTCAGTTTTCCCCATATTGACTCTGACTAAATTTCCTCTGAAAGAAGTCATTAAATACCTGCCACCATAATCTGAACTTTGCACCAAAATGGGCATATTGGGAAATGTTCACTTGATGTGTTCAACTGTCAGAAAGCAGTAACTTTTTAAAAATTAATTGCTCTTGGGAAACATGGGACGCCATGAATTTGATCTGCCCATCTCCTCAACTGGCCTCTACCTCCTGTGACTTCCCAGAGCTGACTTCCAACCTAATTCTCTATGACTTGAAGACTGGTGGGTAGAGACTGGCAAAAAGAGGAATAATGTAGATGTCACCAGGAGAAAAGGAAAACAAGGCTGGAAGATAGCAGAAGAGAATGAATTAGTAATATGGCCTCAGCCAAAGAAAGGGTAGAGAATATGACCCATAGACTTTAGTTCTTAAAAGAGAGTTTGTAATACAGATGTTATTGAAAACATAAATGGACTCTAAGAGTGATGTTAACATTTGGTTCCTGGCCACTAGACCTGGCAACTAGTATTCAACAGTTTAAAATAATTATAAAGTTAAATGGTTTTATTAGATAATGAAGAAGATTTCTTGGTCCACAACTTGCTGCTCTGAGTACATTAGTCTTTATTATGGACTCAGCTCTACTCTTAAATTGTGATCTGCTAAAGAATTTCTAGAGATCGCCATAGAAATGAAATTTATTTTTAGAAAAAGGTACAAAACTACTTGCAAATCTTTAACTATAACATGTACAGAAAGCATATCCTTAAACTAGTAGTTAGTTACTTATCCATTGTTAATGTTTAACTGTGATATCTGGGAGAGATCCCAATGTGTTATGTTAAGTGTTGAGGGCCTGTGTAGTCTTTAACCTGATCTTTAAAAACAAGAGAATTTAAGTAAAAGTCAATAAAACCACTGAATTATACATATTTTCTCATCTAGCATTTTTATCAGAGCTGTCAATAAACAAAATTGTATTTCCTAGGAGTTCAGGCAGGAATACTAACCTATGAATTTTAATTGAATGTTCTACTAGAGGACCTTAGAAGAATATGAACAATTTGGACATCTGTTGAGTTATTCTGAGAGTAAAAGTAGACATATGCTCATTTCAAGAAATGGAAATAAAACTCTTAATGTATTTGCCTTAAAATACTGTATACACACACACATATACACATATGATTAATATGACTTTTTAATATAAAAATCCATGTTATCTGAATTAACTCCTGTGCACAGAATTATTTGATCCTTTCCCTGTTCCCCTCACCCCACGACACACTTTGACTCGCACATTAGGTGGTATTTCTGATGGTAAAATTGATTCTTGACACAGAAGCATGTCTCTACTCCCTTTTCTCAAACAACCTAAAACCACAAAACTAAATAAAGTGACAGAGGTTCATCCAACACAGCAGCTGCTGTCCTGTCTTCAGCAGGATGACGATAAAGACTAAACTACCAGCAAAAGTGTAAGTTTTGTAATGAGAAGAGCTCTTTATGTTCTGCCCCCCACCCTCACAGACCAAACGCCAGACCAGAGCCCCACGCTGGCCTCCCTGAGCTGGTAACAGTGGTCCACCAGCTGGGGAGCCCATCTAGATGGGAGACTTTCTGAAGGCAAACAAAAGGGAAACAAGTCTGTCATGTTATTGATTTCAGTCCCCAAGGGAAGAAAGAAGCTGTGAAGTCTCTTTAAACCAGGACTGTCAGAGGAGACTGTATTTCATTAAAAGGTCTATAGAGAACCAGTCAAACAAAGAAGCAGCAAAATGACAAAATCCAAGTTCTGCCTCGTCTCCTGGCTTTGGGATGGAACAGAGTAAAAGCCTGTTGGCAGGGAACGAGGGGTGGACTCTCTCCACATGCTGAAACCAAGACCTCAGGAATCACCCAATCTTGTCACTGCAAACAACTGCATGCATTTCTGGAAATAAGGTAGTAATATTGCACACTTTTTAAAACTGCAATTGAGTACTAAATAATGGAGTTTTTGTTCAAAAGCAATATTTATTTTTCATGAAGATAAGAGGCATATTACATTTGTTATAGAAAATGCTATGAGAGGGAAAAGCTGCATATTACTGATATGACAAAAAATATTAAAAAAAAAAACTACCGATGAATGCATTCTGCCCTATAAGAACATATTGAATGAAAGGCATTATTCCAGGTGAGTGAGCCATGCAGAAATATGGATTTATTAGGGTTTGTTTTGAAATTTAATTTGTACGGCATACTTTTTATTCCTTTGGTGGCAATGAAACAGATTTATTGGCTACATGGTGGAAGTGCAATAGATAACAGATAACCAAGGGAGAAGTTTTAATAAAACACCCGGGAAAGAAAAAAGAGAAGTGAGTGAATATGCCTGCTTACATTTCAGCTAATAAATAAAAAGTACAGATAGGGCTTTAACGGAAAACTACCCTGGTTATTGCAGCTTGGAAGGTTTATTGAAAACTGGGTAGAACACTCTAATTTTTCACACTTACAGCTATCATGTGAGCTGAACAAACCAAAGTGATGTAACACACATTTTGATTCTGGAGCACAAGCTGATGTTTTCATAAGAAACTCGCAAGTGGCCATGAAGGGGATGAGTGGGTCCTGATTATTAGCCTCAGCTGTTGCTGATTGACAACTGAACAACATTGAGTATTCAACTTTATCACTGCCTTAGGTGAAAAAACACTAGATACTTCCAGGGAAGTTTTGAAGGTACATCTTCAATAAGCACTGGGCTTTCATCTCAAGGAGCTGCGAATTTGGTCTTCAGAGCACCATGCTTAGAAATGCAAAGTATATTTAAGCCACTCATCTGACACTGGGACTTATCAAACCCTTGTCACACACCCCTCCCTCCAACTGGTTGTAGTCAATAGGGCCCTAGACTCATGGAAGAAATCTGTTCTTTTTTCTTTTACAGCAGGAAGAAAAATGTAGGTGTGTCTGCGCTGCCTCTGAGCTATCATGATTTCAGTGTTGCTCTTTGGAGTCCTGCTTTAGAGGATGGTAAATCATTTCCTATGCCTGGAGTCAGCCTCCTTTAAAACAGACATTAAGGAGCCAGGGAGGAAATATTACTCTAAATACCAATAATAACCACCAATGCAAACAACAGCTTTTTAGTAGAGTAGGGCCTAACTTGCGTTCCCACAATTTGCAGGGTGGCTTCATAGAACAAGCTCCACAGATTTGGAAAGAACCAGAGACTCCAGATCTGATTTCACTTGGTTCAGAAACAGGAATTCTGAATGGTGAGTGAGTATGTGATCAGGGATTTACATCAGTAAAAGTGGGTTGCTTTAATACACAAATGCTTTTAGGCTATAAATAATCTTTGATGGTTTACCAAATATAAAATGCTGTTGTAAATCCAAGTTTGTGTATCAAAGATACAGGAACACAAAAGCAAGATACACAAAATGAATTGGCACAGGTTGGAGAGTTTGAATCCATTATTAAGTATGGAGCCTATCGAATATTCCATCCAATTTCCAGTTATGTTGATAATATCATTGCTCACTCTTTTTGACTTTTAGTTTCCCAAATCTTTCAATGAACACTATTTTGAAATGTTCATAATGAGTCCCTATGCCATTCTTCCTTCAGAGGAGTTACTCCTATGGAGGGTTATTGGAAAGAAACAATTCAAAATTCTGCTATAAATTCAGCTCATAAATTGTCTCACAATATCATAATAATAAACTTACTGGGAAATTTTTTTTGAGACAGGTGTTAAGTGAATTTGCATGCCTTAGCAAGATGCATAAAGATGACTTGATGACTTAATTTCTAAAGCACCTATATTATTATGGCACACCTTTGGAGACAGGTAATTATTGTCTACATAGGTAAATATATAGTGTATGCCATAGGAAAAATGGTTAGGTTCATGCTTTTTTCCCAGAAACCACATATTTCCTTTGGTATAATTAAGATGTGTACATAAGAAAAGCTCTTTTACGTTTTATAATACATAAGATGCTTTTTTAAAAATCTTGAGATCCACAATTGTTCTGGGATTTGAAATTTTAAAATAAACAAATTAATCTTCTGAATCTTCCAAAGACATGTTACATGTACTTAATATGTCCCTTCTCTTGTCAAAAGATTTTAAGGGTCTAAATAACTCAACCATATGTAAAGATCTGGTGTATCTGGTTATACATACTGAATAAACCATTTGATCTATTTATACATAGACACTATAATTAAATGCAATCCTATGTTCTTGTATATAAAGGTTGATGAGACACCTTTCTACTTGCCATGGCACTAACAAAGCTAGGTTGAGACTCAGCAACCACTTGTATTCATCGCTTTGCAGGCTAGTAGTAAGTTCAGTTGCTGGTGGAAAGGGTCTCTTAGGACATCCTCTTAAACTAAAGGTTCTTTCGTGCTTGATGTAAATGTGCGCACATGTTTTTATCGAGGTGGTCTTGAGCTGCAGATACAATCACACCGCTCGTGGTGATCCAGCTGGATGTCAACGAGAGCCATGTGCTTCGCTCTACCCCTCCTCTTGAAATGGCCAGGCTCAAACTTTAACACCTAGGACAAGAAGCGTATTTCCTGTTAGAAAGCCCCTGGAGCTTAACTCAACCAGACACCACTTAATTCTCTTTATGACCATTTAGCACTTAACCCCTTGAGAATCCAACAAGAGCTATGGGCTCACTATTAGAATGCACACATGTAAATATTTTTGGAATCATTAGCTCCTTAAAGTGGAGAGGTCAACTAATCACCAAGTAGTGCTTCCTGCGTAACCTATCTTCAGTACCAAGGTGACCTCAGGTGTCCTGGCAGGTGTTTATTGGTAGTTTTCTAAGGGCCTGCTTTGTGCCAGGTGCTGTGCCAAATACTATCATAGAGATTCTTCTGACTAAACCATGTGTTATGGATAAAGACAATACTGAGCATATTATTTTCTCTGTAGACAGAACAATGAATAAAGTCATGAACATAATATGCTGGTAGGACTAAATATTTGTTGATATAAAACATTTTGCCCTGATAAAGGTCACTAGTGGCCTTAAATAAATGACAGTTTAGCTCCACTAAAATCTTTGCAGATTAATACTTGTGTTAATACTGCATTTTTTAAGTGAACACAGTATATCCTTAATTTTTTAAATTAGTAAGTTTAAGTTGAAGCTAACTCTTCTGCCCTGCGACCTACCTTCACTGAAGTCAAACATTAGACATCCCATGCACAAATGCTTGGAAAATTACCCAGGTGCTTTCACATAAAGTATATAGTCAGTTAATTGCTTCTCTTTTTAATGTCCTTAGGTTCCTCTTAGCCTTTATTTTTGATTTGTTCTATTTTCCTTTTAGACTCTAAACTCTGTCATGGCATTACCATACAATTATACAGCATTTTATAGTTTTCAAATATTTGCATGATTTCTTTTGCCCTCAGACCAAATGTTGTCACAAGGCACAGGAATATCCTTATTCTCATTTTATACATTAGAGGCTGTGACTTTAAAGGAGACTAAGGCTTTGTCCATGTTCTTCTGGCCTCTTGGATCTCGGAGTAGGGCTGTGTCCTCTAGGTCCCCAGCACAGCTGACCCAATCAATGCCTCTCCAATATGCGTATGATTTCCTTTTGTATCTCAAAGGTGTGATAAGCCCCATGTGTGAACTGGAGTGGGACCTGATAGAATTTGCTTGGTATACTCTGATCCCAGATAAAGGTTAGATGTGCAAAAATCTTGCTTTCACATTTGCATAACTTTTCATGGCATCTGTACAATTCTTTACTGTGGATTTTATTCCAGCAATTTTCTCAGTCTCACATTACCTATTCAAGTCATAGAGAAAGCAAAATCCTCTACTAAGAAAAATGCCCCAGAGTCCTCAGTACTCATGCATTATAGTCCATGTGCCCCTTTTACTTCAGCATTTAGCCACGTGGTTCCTCGGGAGTTCCAGTGAGAAGGAGAATAAATCCCTACATTTGTTCAATGTTCAATCAAGCTAGAGAGCCTGGACTGTGGTAACTCAGAGTGGAACATGGAGCCCATTTGTTGCAGAGCTTCAAAAGAATACTGATGAGTACAAAATTGGGGGGGGGCGAGGAATACCCTAAGAAAGTACATAAGGGAGGCACAAAGTTAGAAGTATTTAATAGTTGCATAACTATAGACACATGTCAAAATTCGTCAAGCTGAACACTAAGATTTCTGCATTTTAGTTTATGTATCTCAATATGAAAAATAAACATTTTCACATTTAAAAAGAAGTATTTAACATTGGTAAAGATTGTCTAAATGCCAGTTTTGATAACTATCATTTTTTCCAGCCAGTCTACAGTACTTACAATATATATTACATAATTTCTCATGATTTATTATCATTCTATTAACTGGATCATAAGTTATTAGAGAGTAAGAAGAGCAAAAACAATCATTAACATTATTGAGCAGTTACTAGATGCCACACATTGTTGTAAGTGACTTTGCAAATATTAAATTATACGGGCTTCAATGCAACACATTTAGTCCTAATGCAAATTAGGACTTTTCTAATTTTGTTCCTAGATAAGGAAAGAGAGAGAGAAAGTTACTTGCCCAAAGTCACAGAGTTAGTAATTGGTGGAATGAGGATCTGACTCCTTCTGGATGACTCCATGGCCTTACCTATGAAATTGAGACTTTTGTTTGTACAGCTCAGCATGCTGGGAACATAGCAGCTACTAAAGAAATGCACAGAGGTGAATGTGGTGGGTGAGGTCACCAATGAATTAACATGGGAGTGGGTGTTCATGTTCTCTCCTTTTGACATCTGCCTTGAATCTCCTCTATCCCTCCTCCAACACACACAGGGGACAAAACAAACAAGTCAGGAAATAAAGCAGAAGCCAAAATAAAGTGGCCCATGATTTGGACCACTTTTCACCATTTCATAACTTCTAAATAAAATTTTAAGTACCGAGAGCAGAGTTCCAATGACATTGCCTTTCACTGCTCCCATGTTCTTTCCTGCTGGGTGACCTACAGAACATAAAAGATCCCTCTCCAGGAAAAAGTAAGTAAAAAGAGCAATGGTTGAAGCATGTGTTACATTTGGACAGTAAACAGCCCTGCCCGTGACTGAAAGTATGAAAGTCCTGGGGTGTCATATTTGGTCAGATCGCCTTGGACGGGGTTAGAGGTTGGAGTCTTCCAGCTTCGCCAAGAATTTCCCAGGATAAAGTAGTTGCTATTGTCTAAGACTTTCTGCATGTAAGCCACATTTGGGGGTTAGCAGATGCAGAACAGAGAAGTGATTCCTGAGAAGACCAGCAGAGGATAAATATTCTGCATTTAAAGAAGGCCATTATGATAGCCTAAGAAGATGCGAGGACTGCACATATGCAATCAGTGCTCTGTTGATTTGCTTGAGAAAGTTGATGGCAAACGACAGTGTGTGCTTTTGTATAAGAGCAGAGCCTGGGTAGTTTTTCTAACGGGTCCCCTGATTGTTCAGGGATTTTCCCTGTGCGTTATATCAAGTAATGTGAGCACAGTATATATGTGTTTTGCTGATAAGAAGAGAAAAATGAATTGGCAGACACTTTCCCAGACAAGACAGGAAAGCAGTGTTTGAACAAAGTGGAAATCGGACTGCTTTACGGGCTGATCACAGCACTGATGTTCAAAGCTTTCAGAGCATGTAATAGTCTTACGTTCAGGTACACAGTGTTGAAAGGAAGAAGAAAGCAAAGCTGATTTGAGAGAGTACAGAAAATTAAAAGAAAAATGAAAAGCCTTTATCTGAAAAAGCAAACTGTCTGGATATGGGTTATTTGGTCACCTTTAAAGGGAAGGAACCATTGCATTAATTACAGCCAAAGGACACTTACTAATAGGAACCATCACAAAATACTCTCCTATTTTCTGAGCTATGATTCACAGCTGCTACACACACATGCTGAAATAAAAATCCACTGAGGCACAGCCAGACATCTCTTATCACCTGTGGGTGAAGATGGAAATCTTGACTTCACTCCCCCACCTGGAAAACTACATGAAGCCAGGCAAAGTAGACTTTTACTAAGTGGAGAAGGACTGAATCAGTCAGATGCTCTCATACCACTACTCAAAGCCAGAGATGCTCAGTTAGCAAATTAGCATATCACAATAGATATTTAATTACAGTTCCTCACTTTGTTGCCAATAAACCACTGAATGAATCATTGCCATAAAGCTATTACACTAATAAAACAATACCAGGCAGAAAAGCCATCTGCTGAGTTGGGTTCTTGTTTATTGGGAATATAAAAAAAGGTTGTTAAGGCCTGTAACAATTCTCAAATTAATGGCTGATATAGGAGCACAAGTACATATTTCAGGACAAATGTGTTATATAAGCCTGAATAAGTAAGAGCTTATTTAAGATTCTACCTAATTTCTAAATGGGCAGTATTCAGTAAACATACAGTTTCTTATCTAAAGAAAAAAAGCTTCCTATCTTTGCTTCCATTTCACTTCCTTCATGCTTATGACAGACTTTATCAAAAATGTATAAAGTTAAGATTTTTAAGGGCTGGTTGTCAGTTTTTCTTAAACCTAAAGGCCATAACAAAAATATTTTGAGAAGGGATAACATATTAATTTCTACTTGTGTAATTGTTCAACTTACAGGCAGTAATCACAACAGAGGAAGAATCTTGTAAGGGAAAGACTGATATCAAGTCATGAGACACAGTACTCACATCAGAAAGACACACATCACAAAGAGCTCAGCAAACTGTTCACTGGCAACTTAACTTGGAAGGTGACCAAAGACTGCAGTTGTGGTGAAAATCTGTAAAACTTCCATGAATTTTGAAAATGCAATCTTGACAACTGTAGACATTAACTTCCAATAGAAGTTTTCTGTGAACACTCTAGGGTTATTATGGGGTACATTTAGCTGCAGTCCTACCTTTACAGAACTAAGTGGTTAAATGATTTTGAAAGCATCTTAGAAGATTAATGGCTACATGTTTAGCCTGCCCATTGCAGAAAACGTAATGGAAGGCCAGCTGGGCACCAAGTTTCAGGGCTTGGCATTAGCTCTGAGTATCATTCATGACACGGATGGGTCTTGCCTACACGAGGAGTTTTGTGCCCCAAGGCAGCTTTGCTAAACTTTGGCAGGAAGGCCTGATGTGAAGACAGATCGAGAAAGGAAAGCAAGTGCACATTTGTAGTACTTAAATGGAGAGTCCACTCACTTGATGAATGAGTTACCAAGGCTGTAGGGCAATCAGAACTGAGAAAGCCAGACCCCACTCTCAGAAAGTTCCACCCACAGCTGTTTTGTGCTTAAAGGTCTTCAGAGGCATTCATGTACCCAGGGTCCCCATGAGGTAAGTAGCACAGGTGTTACTGATGAGTGAATGAACTTTTGTATCAACATTATTACCTGTTCCAGGTCATACCTTTGTTCTTTTCACTTACCTAACACTTCAGCCACCAGTTTGTTTTATAGTCCTTACACAATGTCAGAAAGATTAGATTTTTGAGGTAGGATGGAATGTAACAGTTGATGGATATCATACAAATTTAGGTCCTTCTGAGACTCAAAATTGCAGGACATGGTGCGGACTCTGGGTAGAAACTTGAGGCCCTTGGAAGTCCCAAGTGGCTGCCCCAGGTCACGTCCCATGCGGCAAAGCCGGCACTGGAACACACATCTTCTTTCTTTTAGTCGAGCGATTTTTTTTTTTGCTCGATAGCACTGTTTCTCATGGGAAAACACAAGGAAAGCCGGAAAAGGCTGTCTCATGGTCTCACTCAAAGAAGGGGAAATGGAAAGATGCAGGGAGAGTCTACACAAGTAGAAATGTTATTTTCAGGAAAGTATAGAAAATAGATTTTCTGGACTTTTGTTATGGTTAGTTAAAATCATAACACCAAATCTCACTGCCTTTGCCGTAGAGTAGAAAGTCTTTGAAAAAGATAATTTTGTCTGTCTCCTTGATCTCAATTTGCAATTTTAGCTAAATTTGTTTCAATGACAGATGGTTAAGAAGTGCCAAAACTAAAGCTGTTCTTTCATCTCAACATTTTTTACTATTAGTCTTTGTTTCATATATAAACAGATACTCTTCTAACTCTTAAACTGTAATAGAAAGCAAAATTTTAATACAAAATTCTGCATTAAAATTTAAAAAAATCCTCTTCAAGTAATTTTTCCTTATTTTGTGCAGAAACAGGAATGATTCTAAATGTAAACATTTAAGAACGGGGGTTGGTTCTGGCCTTAAGGTACTTGATATGGTAACAACTATGTTATTAGAATTAAATAAAATAAATTCAGTTTCTCATTTGCATTATGTACATTTCAACTGCCCATAATCACATGTTGCTAGTGACAACCACATTGGACAGTGCAGATACACAGCATTCCCATCACTGCAGAAAGTTCTACTAGATGGTGTCAGTGGTTATATTCACATTGTGACAAAGTTGTGTGAGGAAGGACAGAGAAAATTAACTTCTTTCTTTCTCTGCTGCTTCCTAAGTTTTTGACTGTTGACTGAATGGTTATGGACAGGGGATCAAAAGAGAAAAACAGTAAGTATTAATTTAAAAGGTCACCATATTTCTAGGGGAATCCTATTCCTTGGGAAGATGAGACCTTATATAGCAGCATCCCCTAATTGTATACACAGAATGTTTCTGGAAACTTCCTTTTTGAAAAATCATACCCCAAGTATCTTTTATAGTCTATATATTCAATCAAGACACATAGAATGATTGTTAGGAAAAAGGAAAAATAATAGGATGCCTATAAATGTTTGAGAACAGGCAGTAAAAGAGATAGTAACATTGTACTGCACAGTGAAAAATGTTCAAACTGCTACAGGAGAAATAGCATGACCTCCTAAAACAGCAAGAATATTAATAACCTCACTAAGAGCTTTATAATTTTTTTACATTATTCCTTAAAGATTGAACACTGAAATATTTGCAGAGTCACATAGGCCTGCTCATGTGAGGACTTCTAGTCACCTCCATAAGGGTGCTCATGTCTCAAAGAAACTCATTTCACATCTCATCAGTTACAATCAGGAGCTAAGGAAATGGTTTTTCATTTCACTGAGGTAAGAATACAGACACAAAACTATTAGAATACAGGACGTGGATTTTCCCCTAATGAGCCTAGTTCAAGCAATACCCATTTCTGGAAATGGAACAAGCCTGCTACTCTTTCCCACAGGGCACTCAGCAGAGTGATCACTGTGACACATTTCAAGGGTGTTTTAGAGGTCTAGGGGAAATAGGCCAGGCATATTTGTTTCAGGTCTGCAGTTACTGGCTGAATGATTGATGCTGTTTGTCCCTTTGTCCAGCACTTGGCGGAGTGATTTTGTACAGAGTTCTGTAGACTCTTACAAGTAAAAATGTTATGACACAATGCTTCAAAGATAGGCTTTAGAGGGCTGTTTCAAAAATACTTTAGAACCCCTCGTGAGACTGAACAAAGAGATCAAGGGCTTCTCCTTCTAGTATTAATTGTGAATGGAAATTTACAGGTAACTGCTATCTGTCCAGAGACAAGAAAGAAATTAAGAAAAGGACCCTCAGAATTCTTTGCAGTTGACTGAGAGGTGAGGGTTTTTTGGTTGCTGTTTCCACAATAAGCAATTTTAAAAATGAGCTGTGACTTCCATCGGAGCAGAGTCAAGATGAAAACAAAGCATACTACAAATACATCAAAGGCCTGAACTGAATGTTTTTCTCATAGTTACATAGAGATCTTGTCACTTCCTAGATTATTTTAACTCTAACCTGATTATTGCATTCTGCATTTATCCTCAGGGTATGACTAAACATTATTAAAATTTAGGTTCTTAGATGCAAAGGACAACATCTAATCTACAGTTCATCAGGTCATACAAAAATAAAACACAATGAACATAGATGATTGCATTCTCTGGATAAGAGAACATTTTTTTTTTCCTTTGAAAACTATGGGTGGAGTAAGACATTCTTCTAACTAAGAAAATATATTCTGTGTAGGTCTAAAATAATGTGTTTCCCCTGTCTAAGGTAACCACCGTCACTGTGGCCTTTGACTTCCTGCACTTCCCAAGTTGAAAATACCAGTTTTGATGTATCCATTTTCATTTAACTCAAGTTACTGCCTGACATTATTATTGTTTTATTGTTTTCAGGAGAAAAAAAAGTTTTATTAAGGTAGACATTTGATTTACAGAGAGTTCTACTTTTGTTTTGGTAGATGCTGATGAAAAGCAACTCAAATAATTTCTAACAATAATATTTACTTCATATTTTACTTTATATTTTTAAACATATTTGTATGATGTTTCACATCTTATAAAATGCATTTCACATATGCATTATTTTATTTGATCCCCAGAACCACCACATAATAGCTGATATAACTTCTTAGTCCCATTTCACATATGTGAAGACCAAGTCTCTAAACTTTAATAATCTGCATATACTCCCACAATCAGGAAATAAAAGAGTTGCTGTCAATGTCTGGAGTAGCTCAAACTCCTCTTAAGTCTACTCTTTGTTTAATGCTCAGCAAAGTGCTATATATTTAAGAAGAGAGAGCACAGGGTTACTAGTGATGAAAGCATAGATTCTGGAGCCAGTTGATTGGAATTAGGTCCTGGCTCTGTGATTTACTGACCATGTCAACTTACTGGTCAACTTAGGCTTCAGTTTATTCATCTATAAAAAGAGAATAAAAATAGCAACCTCCACTCTCCAACCTGGAGCATTTTTGAGAAACTGCTAAGTGAACTAATGATTACTTGTAATAATATCTGTCCTAAGGAACTGCTCTTGAGTGTTTGCTGTATTATTAAAGTTACTACTCTCCTTAAATTTTTGTTCCTCTTATATCCTTTTGTTTACTTTTACATAATTTCAGAGCTGTTTCTCCAGGTAGCACTCAATATTATGTAGGGAAAAATTAGTATTTCTAGAAGAAAATATTTTTCTATTTAGAGAGAAAAAGTCTTTGATAATGTGTCTCCTCTGACATTTTACATTTTGCTATCTTTATTCTGCTTAAACTTTTAATGACTTGACTGAATTCACATTTGGCTCTTAGCAGTTTCACAAAGCAACCTAGATTTTGCAGTCATATCCTGCAACTGGATAAGTAAGCTCTGAAATTACTACATCATACGTTTGATTATATATTCTAAAAAGGCTGCTGTTGACCTACACTTTGGATTATAAGGGTTAGAAAGAAGAGTCCCTTCTTCAGGAGTGACTTAGCCCCTCTCAGGGCACTTGGCTTGGCAACTTCAGCAAGAGTATAATTTCAGCTCCCAATTATCTGCCTGGCTTGGACCTTGTGGAGTGAACAACCCAAACGACCATACATGATGGCTCCGGCTTCCAGACCCTTATTGATACATGGCTTGTGCAGTTAAAAAGCCCTAAAATGCAGCACTGCAACAAAGAAATGCGAGAACGTCATACCTCATGATACTTTTTCACGGTTTTCCCTGAATTGCATGTGCAGGACTTCCAATTGACAGTTCCACAACCACAGTTTCCTCCACAGCGCTGCACAAGGAGGCATCGGGGAAAGAAGACCACGTTGGTCAGCTTCAGCTCCTCTCTTAGGTTTACTGAGTAATTCCTGGGAGTACAACTGTACCGCTTGACATCATCATTGAGCCTGTCCAGGTCAACTGTAAGAAACAGCCACTGTTAAGTCTGAGTAAGCAAACATGCATCTGTAAGTAAAAATACTCAGCACATGTGTGCAAAGCAGTATGGAGTTTCGCCAAAAAACTAAAAATAGAAATACCATTTGACCCAGTAAATCCTCTCCTAGAAATTTACCCTAAGAGAACAAAATCCCTGATTCAAAAAGATATGCACACCCCTACGTTTATCGCCACACTATTTACACTAGCTAAGATATGAAAGCAATCCAAGTGTCTATCAATAGACGAATGGATAAAGCAGATGTGGTGCATATACACAGTAGAATATTATTCAGCTATAAAAGTAAAAGTAATCCTGCCACTTGCAACAACATGGATGGATCTAGAGGGTATTAAGCTCAGTGAAGTAAGCCAGGTGGAGAAAGACAAATACCATACGATTTCATTCATGTGTGGAATCTAAAAACAAAGCAAAACAGAAGGAATAAAATAGCAGTAGACTCATAGACTCTGAGAAGTGACTGGTGGTTATCAAGGGGGAAGGGGAGGGTGGGTGGGGAGGAGAGTGAGAAGGATAAAGGGACACAATAATTTGCTATCAAAATATAGGTTGGTCATGGGGACGGGAGTACAGCATGGAGAATATAGTCAATATTCTACATTGATAGATAGTAACCGCACTAAAGGGGGTGAGGATTTAATAATATGGGTAACGGTTGAACCACTGTGTTGTATATTTGAACCAACATAAAACTTCAATATCAACAATACTTCAATAAAAATAAAATACTCAGCATGAGCTTTTGGGAAAGGGGTGGAAAGAGTCTGTGAGGATGACCTTAACCCAGGGACTGAATCTGCTCAAAAGCTTGGCTAAATTTATATCTTGGCTTAAATTTCTTCATGTCTTTTTCTTTAATTCAAAAAAGAAAAGGATTCTGAGGAAAGAAAATAAAACATTCAGCCATTTATATAATTGCCTTTGTCTTAACAAAAATAGAATAAAATAATTTGCTTCCTGATGCTAAATAAATCCTGACTCTAAGCTGTCACTTAACTATGATTTGAATTGTATCAGGGACTCCTTAGGGACAGCCACTCTAATATATTGATGGGCAATGAAATTTTACAAGTAAATGTGAGGAAGAAAAAGACGTTTGCTTCATCTGAACTCCAAGATCAACCAGAATAGCAAAGGGAAGAGCATCTGTTGTTGGTCCCCATGCTGCCCACTTGAGCCCGGGCCAGAGGGGTGGGGGTGCACGGCAGGCGAGTGCTTGGGCTCTGCTGGCTTTGCCTCCTTTCAGTTGGGAAGCTACTGAACTGCTCCAAATCTGCTTCCTCACCTATAAAATGCAAATATTGTAATTTTATCTATTTCATATCAATATTTGAAGGATTGAATCCAGTGCGCCTGGCACTCTAATGGTAGTTATTATTGCTCATCTAGATTCATTTTGATTTTTCCTCCATCTTTTCCTTCCAAAGTCAAATGGCCAAAAATTAAAAGGAAAAAATTTTAGCTTTCTCTCCTCAATTTCTCTGTTTTGGCGATTACTCTGTGTATATGACTGTCAAGGGGTTATGGTTATTGGGGCCTCTATGAGTTGGGAACATCACCCTAAGATTTCTAATTTTAGTCATAAATATTTACTTGAATGAAGCTTGAATTAGTGTATTACATAAATCACACTTTAATTAGTCTTCTCCAAATCCATCTAATCATTCCATCCACTTGGCATCCAAATCTCTAACTGGTGAGCATGCACTTGACTGTCTTCTCACAAGAATGCAGTTAGAGGAAGTCCTCCGTCTGCACGGTTTCCAACCTTTTCCAGTGCCAGGCCACCACAGGAGGAATACCACAAACGTTGGGGAGATGTCCTCACGCTCATTCTGGACACGAGCCCCACTAAGCCTCTTAGTCTTAAATCCAAACTGCTCAAGGAGCAGTAAGGAGTGCTATTTTGGGAGAAGAGGTCAAAGGCTAAGGATGCTATCAGAGAAAAACCAAAAAAAAAGAAGGCAAGAGTGGGTGAAGAGTCCACTTTGCCCCACGAAAGCAGCTGAAAGACTGGTCCAAGGGCCAATGATCCCAGAATAAAGAATTACACGGCAACTGGGTGGATGCCCTGAGAGTCTTTAATATGTGCAGCTATGCTTTCGTTTTCAATGGCAGGGATTTTTCCCTAACCGTTATATGCTGAGCCCAGAACACTGTGGGGGCTGAGTAAATGCTAAATAATTACTGTGCACAATTTATTGCTGTTTTTTTCTTCCTTTGTAAAGACATGTCATAAGTTTTGCTATAATCAATCCAGATTTAAATTGAATGAACTCTGTCTTGGAAAGGAACTACTTTATTGCTGCTAAAGCCCTTAAAATAACTGCAAGCAAAGCAGGAAGGATTGCATAAATGGATTAAGAAGTGCAGCAATCATCCATTACAAGTGTCACCTTGAGATAAATACTGACACGGGCCTGTGCATCACCAGGCGTGTGGACAGCGCTGATGCAGAATGCCAAAGCTGCTGCTTGTGATAATGGGAATATATTTTGTCTGACACCAAGGAATAAACAGGTGCTATTAGCAGGAAGAGGCTGTACCGTGTGGAGAGGCAGAGAGGGACAGGAAGGAAACAAGAGGACTTACTGAGTGTCTCTCTAGTTCAGCCCTCTGCCAGGCACCTTACACATATGACTACATTCCATTGTTCCTTAGCTTTTTGAAGTGGGTATTGCAAAGTGAACAGTAAGTGGCAAAAATGCAACTGAAGCCCTTCTACATTTTGTGTTTTTGCTCTCTGGTCTCTGCCCCATGAAGCAGAACATGCAGATGACAGGTACCCTAGGGCTGAAGAAGAGCAGCCTCCCTGGTGCTGTCCCCAGCTTTCCTGTAGGGTGCTGCACCAGGATGGGGTGGTGAGAGGCCACACCCTTACCTCCAGGATACATCCAAGCCTAAACACAGCATGTCTTCCCTATGGGAATTTAGCTAAACCCCAAAGTGCCCTCAGCAAACCAGGAAAAGGCATGTATGCATGCCTTACTCGCCTGGAAACAGAGCTCCTCACGTTATGTGACTGTTTTACTGACTAGCTCTGATACTTCCATTTCCTACCTGCCAGGAAGAGATTTAGTGCTGCTGGTTTTATGCATCAATTCACGGATGTGACTGAGAACAGTGGCCCAGTGTGACGGCTGCGGAATCCAGCTGCCCTGCTTATCAGGGTCTTGAAGCCACCGAGGCCCTCAATTTAGAACTAGGCTAAAAGGTTCCTCTGACTGGATGCAAATAACTTCAAAGAGCAATTGCAGGCTTTCTGCAGGGGATATTGAGTTTCCAGTCAAAGAAGACTGATTCAGCGGCCCAGCAGAGCAGGGAGCCAGACAAGGGGCTGAGCGGCAGTTACGGCTTCTGATGCTTTGGTGGGATGGGGGTCTCTGGTGTGAGCCTTCTGGGAGGGAGGCAGGCTGAGCAGTAGAAATCCAGGGAGAGGGGCTGCCCTTTCCGTTCCTGCTTGAGTCTCCAATGGGGAGCATTACAGGGTCCCAAGGATGTCCCAAGTTTAATTCAAAGGCCCATTCATTTCCTCTAATTTTCCTTATCTCACCCAGGTGTACACGATGGTATAATTCCTCTTCTGCTGTACTTTTGAATTTGAGTTTTGCCTTTTCATGGATCTTTGACATGAATTAAGTTTTTTGGGCTGTATGATGAATCTGTTGGAAAGACTGAGAAGGCCCCACAGTCCTCAGTGCCTTCTCTGGACACATGAAGCCAGGGTCGGGCCCTGCACAGCGCAGGAGTGAAGGGCCCTTCTTTCTGCCACCCTGACCTCCAAGAAGAGTCCAGTCACACACGTTCCTTGGGTTGTGATAAGAGTTCTGGGATACACACAAGCCCTAGGGTGGGCACGTGTAGAGCAGGGGCATATTGGTGAATGCATATCCTTGTTCACTTTCTCATCTATTCAGGCATGGAGATGGAAGGAAGAAGAGTAAACATTGTCTTTTTGATCCTGGCCATCAACATCCCTAAGTACCAGGTAATGTGAAAAGTTCTTCACATATGTGATTGCACTAAATCCCCATGAGTGCTATGAATTACATACCATAAATTACTACCCTTCATTTTCATGGTTGAGGAAATTGAGTGTTTGGGACATTAAGAAAAAAACATGTCTACAGCTACACACCCAATCAGTGGCAGAGCCAAGATTGCATCCAGGCATTTTCATGCCTCTTGCACTTTTGAGCCCCAGCCTGACATCTGAAGGAGGGGATAGAGAGCAGCTTCCACAAGCCACATGGGCGCCTTCCCGTTAGAAGGTGACTTGCTGTCTGCAAGACCTGGCTTCCTAGGTGTGTTGATAGGCGCAGACCTGTCATTTTCAAGATGTTGTCAGTTACATGTGCCCAAGCATGTGCCCCTGTGTACACACATTCATCTATTGGATTCTGCTGGGAAAGTACATGATGTTCTGGTTAACAAACCAGGAAAACTGCCCAGAGCCTACTTTTTTTTGGTATTGAGCAATATTAAGAGTTTCATCCTTTTCATCTGAACTGACAGGATTTGTCAATTCATGATCTTCAGTTTGTCCTCATTTCTCCAGGAACTCCTTCTTGTCCCCATCTGCCTGTACTCTTTGCCATGAAAACCGAACAGAGGCCATTGTAAACAGTTTCAGTGGGCTGAATGCAATGATTTGTCTTCATGAGGAACAAACGGCAGACTCCTAGAGATTCTTTCTATAGAGCAGAAAAAAGCAGCATTTCATATGCTTGGCAAGCACAGCATATGTGGTGATTAGCTTATGATAAAAATTTAAATGTCTGTTCTAAATTGATCATTACAAATTTTTTTGTGAATACAAAGATTCATTGTGAAACGATGAATAATGTCCTTACTTTGAATGTAGGAAAGCACTTCCCCCTATGCATGCTTAATTCACGGCTTGCTTTGTTTAACAGGAGATGGAGCCTTGGGCCAGTCTCCAGGTGTCAGGCATATCGGC